TTTATTTCTGTTTTTTTTTTTTTTTTTTTCCAGATGAAGTGTTATCTTTAATGCTTTCAGGATCAATGATGCATTAGCTATGACAAAACAGAAATGGCAGCATGTTAGATGATAGAAGAAAAACAAGGTAAAGGCTTTATAGTGTGAAAAAAACAGGTATTATTCACGATGACATAAAGGTAACAAAGACATACAGTAAGTAGTCCTTAAGACAGTTTATAAGCAGTGAAAGGCAGATCATTCAACAATAAGTGGTTTGGGGCAGGAAATTCTGTTTCAATGATCAAACATGCTGGAAAAAAACTGATTCAGCTGAAGGAAGCCTGTCCTGGTCAGATAACCCTGGTCAGATAAAGTATTAGTTTACCCTGGTCAGATAAAGTTTTAGGTTACTTTACATATTTCTCATAAAGATACTTCATTTTGTTTTGAAAACAAAAATAAAAAACAAAATTTTTAAGACTACAGATCTATAGAAACCTCAGTAATAGTTCATCAACTAGAAACTTACAGTATATAAGCTAAACACTTTCTATTTTTGTCAAAAGACCCTTCTAGGTTAACTTCCACTAGCAAGTAAGGGTTACTAAAATGAACAGAATGATTGTATAAATTGATTCATACAGTGGCCAATAATTATTAAAGGTCTGTCTTTTTTCTGAATACCCCTATGATATTTGCAGTGGGTTTGCTGATAGTACAAATCTGATTGGAAGAATAAAATATTTTACTTCAATCTGATAGCTTTCTAACAAGTCTCTCTCTCTCTTTTTTTTTACTTTTCACTGGGCTGTTTTATTCTTTTTCTCTAGTTCTCTCATGTTCAACCCTAAACTTGATTAGGATTCACAGGCTTTCCTCGTCCATAGCTAAACCTTCCTTTAATCTTTACTATTATATATCCCAAGAAGGAGGATATATAGGCACCAAAGCCAGACCTTTATATTCTCCTCCTCCAAAGCAAGAAACTGTTTTGGGAACAGAGAACTTCCTGTAAAGCAAAAGAAGTAAGCCAATATTTCACAGCTGTCCACTGGGGATTTACACACTTCCACAGCTGGCCTGCCAGAAAGATCTGCTCTAAGTCCTCTGTTGCAAGAAAAACACTCTGGAACACGTTCCAAACCAGCAGGAAAAAGCTATTCTCTTTCTCTGAATCATAAGACAATTTTCTATAATGTAAAGCACATTTCCTCAATATTTAATTTAAAAGTTCCTAGGATGCCATGGGGATGTCATATCGATAAATTCCAAATTATATTATAGCAGTACTGATTAGCATAAGAACATAGCAATAACCCTGCTGAGCCAGGCCAAGGCTCAACTTAGCCTGCCTACATGTTCTTAAGCAGGAGAAGACGACTTATCTTTCCTATCACGGTTCTCCTGCAACTGATATTTGGAGGTAAGAATTGAGTCTTTATGAATAATAACTCTTGACAGACCTGTTTTTCATGAATTCATCCAACACCCTTTTTAAAACCTCCAAGTTAAAGGTCATGATCACATCTTAAGGAATGAATCCCACAAATTATCTACCATATGAAGAATTTTTTTTATAAATATTTTTCCAATCAGGCTCACTAGAAGATGTCTAATGGATTCTGCACATTGAGTTGGTATCTTAATTCAGCAATCCACTATACATCTCAAATCTCTTTCCTGATTGATTACAGGCAGCTCAGACATATAAGTCTGAGTGTGAAGTTTGGGGGTGAGGAGGGAGGAATGTCCCAATATGTCTTACTTTACACTTATTTAAATTGGATTTCATATTTACAGTGGGTTCATCACCCTGAACAGTTTGGTAGCCTCTGCA